AGCACGTTCCACCTCTGATGCGCGTTGAGTCTACCAGATTTTGCGGTCTCTGTGTACGCTTTCATTGAGGTTACGACTCATTGCGTGTCGTATTTCATTATACTCGCTGCAAATTGGGATTGATCAGCGTGCATCAAGAAGGCGAAGAGACCCCGCAGAAATCCAGGGTGTCGCGGCACAACGTGTCAGACCACAACTAACTAAGCCATCAGAATTCAGAGCATTCCTGACAAGCGACCAGTGCTGGTTAATGTCATCGGGTGGGGTTGGTTCTAGCTTTTCAACTAGCAAGTTCTGAAAGACAGTTAGGCGTGCTGGTTCAGACAACTTATCACAGTCTAATCGTCGCTGTGTCGTGCGTTTGGAACGCCCACCAGAGGTTTTGATGGAAATATTTGTTCTCCACAAACCTCCACTCAGTTAAAAGTGCATCAATAAAATAGTCTAAATATGTTGCTGTATGCCTAGTGGGTTCACACTCGTGACTGAGTGAACTCAATGCTTCCCTAGGGTCAACAAAGACTGCGATCCATCGTGTGACGCAAATTGATCAACTGGCACATGGTGGCTGGTTTGAAATTTGGTCTGTTTTTCACAGATATTTTCTCACTCAACGCCATCAAGCAGGAGAATATGCTGGGCGCAGATTCTTTGGTTACTTGAATTCATTCAAATGGATCAAAGGGAAAGGATCTTTCCGATCTTTGGTAACTATTGGAATACAACAAGCCACTCTGTTGCTTGCGCATTGTGTTCAATCTCGTCAGATCACATGACTATCACCCAGATGTCCGTCTCTTTCTCTATGACGAGATTGAACAAAAACAGTGAAAAATGGCACGACTTTCGAATACCGCTGCTGATTGCAAATGATGATCTGAACTCACCCTACGCGTTAAGACTATCAGGAGTGGGTGCGTGTTCAGTTTTTCAGCTTTTACAACCATTACCTGTGCACTTTTGTGCAGCGGTTTTGGTTATTGTCTTTTGGCTGCTCATTTGGATGAAATAGTAGAGGGACAGGAGCGCCACTGATTTGCGACACTCAGCCATATCACTCAGTGTCTCTAACCATTGATTACAATGATCCCGAGGTCTCCATTCAGGGAGCTTACCGATACTTATGTGACCAATTCTTTTGGTGAGGGTTTTCATACCCTCGTATCAGGCCTTATTTTGACCACCTATGGCTGTGTTCCATTCACTACTTGCCCCCGTAAACATCGCTTGTCGTGGTAACCTATTTGGTGACATGCGTAACACAGATCTATGAAGGTCGACCACTTGCTTCAGTGGGTAACCGCAGTTACCTGAAACTCTGCACCTAACCTCAACATTGCTCGTCCGGTTACCTCACCAGATTCGTGCAATGCTGCGTAGACAGCGGTGTGCAAACACCGACATTCTGTCCTAATCCTGTTGTCCTAATAGCCAAGTCTCTGCACCGTACAGCGGAACTGACCGAACTACCGCAACTAATACTCAAGCTGTCAAATGTCGATCGGGCTTTCTGTATCCGAGCTGACACCTTATCCACGATGTGTCCATCTGGTGAAATGTAGCTGTCTAAATAACAAAACTTGTCTATTTGCTCTATTACTTTCCCAGTTAGATTGAGGCCAGGTGCTAGACCAACCCAGTCTTGTTGTGATAGGTGGGTAAATTGAACACAATAGGTTGCCATATATCTAACAATGTCTCGGGGTAAATTGATGCAAACCCCACTTTTCATGTTGAGGATTAATGCAATCTCTGACGTGCAACTGTAATGATTGAAGTACGCAAAGATCATGGATTACAAATCACGTATTAGGAATCACGGACGTCACACGGAAGCACTGAATCACACTGGCACTTGGCACGAAACACATCCCTCGTAACTGAGCTGCGAAGAAAAGGTCACGGAAGTAGCAGTTCATTTATTGGAAGAAATCAAAGGGGTCAAATAACATGTTCAAAAAAGTTTACTCGTTATCCAGATATCTACCCATCGCGTGCTCGTGTTCTTGGGGTTGTACAGTTTCTGTCTGGGCCGCACGGCTCCTGATTGATGGGTTCAAACGGCCTATAGTCGGCTATTCAGAGACTGTGACGCGTAAGCACTTTGCTGGCGTCATCTGGGAAGCTTGACTGACCACAGTTATCCAGAAACTGTTTGCGTCATACCGCACTCTAGGAGTACCATAGCAACGTAACTCTGTTTTGCGCCTAATCGACTCAGCTAATTTCTCCATAGCAAAAGTGCGACCAAGCATGATTTGGAAAAAATTTGTTGTCCACTTTATTTTAAAAATATAAAGAAAGATTCATATCACATCACTACGTCACTCGTTTCTATCACAACCCAATTTTGGTTTTCATACAGCTATACTTACCCGGATTGAATCGGCTGTTCTCCTCACCCACACCGAAACCGACTTTGGAAGAAGCCACAGCCTTGATTGTTGCAGTGACCATTCGTTGGTTAATTTCACAAAAAATCATATTGGGATTCCCATTCAATTGCAAAGGGCCACAACCGTCGCAAAATATCAAATCCATTGTCAGCGAGGGAATAAATCTGAACACGTATTTGAAAGATCACGGCCATTTGACGAAACAACAGATCTCACCAAAAAGAAAATCCATATCCGTGTCAAGGCCGGATACCGGACTGCAACTGCGAACGACCAATTTGAACAAGGAAAGTCTTCTAAATTTCATGCCCAAAAAGTCACACCACACTCTGGACAACAACAACAAGCCGAATATTTTGACAAGCATTGAACCTATTCGACCCGGACAACAGTGTCTGATCGGCAAGGGGATGAATCCCGTTGCTCAAAATATTACTGCCACTTTCCCGCACACTGTCGGATCGATAAAACCCAGTTCCATTGAAGGTAAGCGGTCAGTGAGCTCCGGTGAAATGTCATAATCATGGATCACTATCGAGGAAGACTAACATGTTACACATCTCCACAAGGCCGTCGAGGTATTGTACAATCGCAAACCACTGTTTTCACATTTTACGGCAATTGCAGTGATGGTAAGGTTGTTTTCAACTAAGTTAATAATTTACCATGTATGTGGTCTCATTTGATAGGTTACAGCTAGGGGGGGGGGATGTGACTCAATGAGATCAATAGATATCGAAATTACGAATGGGCCGCTTCAAAGAGTTTAAGCATTGTTATTTTAGAGTAACTCGTTGCAAGCATCTGAGGAATCAATTAGACATGGATTAGGTCTGCCGTATAGGTCAATAAGTACGCAAGTAGTGAATTACGTAGTTATTCTATTTACAGTGTGTAAATGAAAACGGAACCGGTCTGTAGGCCGGTGAGCGGGCAGTGCGTCAACACGCAGGTAAGCACAAAACTGTCCCAACCGTCACCAAAAGGAGTATATCGTCACACTAGGCAGTCAATGGACCAAGCAGTGCGGACAGATCAACACACCTCTGATTCGCTGAGGCGAATCGACTTTGTAACAGAATAAGTCCGCATGACGTGCGTACGTGCGTGTGGTGGCGGGCCGCAACGGTCAATCACGTGATGTGCGGTAAACGTTTCATTCGACCGCAGGTCACTACAGTCCCTTGATGATATTTTTTTAAAATTAAACTATCTCAACCTTTGCGTGGTACGTGATACAGGGAGGGGGGACTGCGCATAAAAGTGATAACTGTAGTCGATACATTAAGCCTACTTGTGCGTAACAATGGTAGAATTTATCACAACTAACTGCTGGCAAGTGGTCAGTTGGTAGATATAATTGTTTTAAAGTTGTCCCATTGCTTATGCCTCGCACTGTTTAGTAAAATGTGATGTCTCTGTCGATCGTATTCTATCATAAACAAATTTATTTCGTTTGTAACTTAAACTTTAAAGTTTAAAAGAGCCTACTGTAGGATTTGCTCTTCTTGTGACCAAGGCACGGTAATAAGGCACATGATAAAAGTTGATTTAAATTTATGAAGTTTCAGCAGTTTATACATTTTTGAGGTATTATTATTACAATGAGTTTCACACGCATCAGAGTCCAGAGTTTGCATGAAACAAATCTGTGGTGATCCAGCTGTACGCAACCGCATTCCAAGTACGACCAGGTCCAGCTTCATGTCATCCAATCAAAGTTCAGGAAGCTGTACCAGTGGTACACCGGGGGAACATAACATCAGAGTTAGTACATGCGATGCGTCTGCCAAACGGTTACGTGATCGGACGATGGTCCTTTAACCAATTATGTGGCCTATTGCATTCTTTAAAACATGCTCTATTTCTGTCAATAAGCATTGGCACTTGCTGCTACCAATTCTCCCTTTATTTCATTGGTGTCCGCAGTTCGGGTTAGAGCCAATTGAGTTCTGAGTATTACAATACGGGTTCTCGTATTCCTATATTTAACACTATTCCGACTAACACAAAATCCCAATACAATAATCTTTATAGTAAACAGGACCGCCCTCGAGTTGCTAGTGAGAGGAATACTACCAGGTTTCTCAGACCTGAGCATGGGAATTTTTTGGGGAATTCGTAACAAAATTCTTCGGCTGGCCTGACCCACAAGGCTGCGGAGCGGTGAGTGAAAACCGCAATCCACTAGGGACGATGTCCAGTTCATCGGAGCGTGCTCCCTGTGTACAGAATCAAACATCCGAGGTGCCCAGACATGTTGAAGTCCAATTAAGTTCGTAACCAATGCCACAACCAGTTAGGTGTGATGGAGTGTGGTTCGTAAACCTCTTCTTGGTTGTCGTGGAATTATGGTTGTAACCCAATCCTTTAGGTGAACTACCGGTATTATAGTTCCACAAGGCGGTGTTCGGTCGGGGGAAGTTGTTTATTGCAGATAACATTTAAGGTATCATTAATTTAGCATACGTATAATAGAAATCGCATTTGAAACATATCGTTGCAGTTCCTGACAGCACACCGGGTAATTCATGGAGCAGTCGGTCGCTATTCATTGAGACCAAGCACTATGCCCTCGGTGATCTTGTTAATTTTTGATCGTTGAAAGAATTCACCAACTATTTTGCATACTACTCACAAACATAAGTAGTATCTCACGACACCGGTAGTTGACAGACCCCGTTATAGCTGTTGGTTATTGGTTCTCTCAATTTATTGACAAAAACCTCCACCAAAAGCAGGCATTGAGAATAACTTTCTCAATAAAGTTTATTTGATGCACTCTGTGGTATGGGAAAATTTTGAGGGTATCAGTGGAATGGTAATCAGTTATAATTGAAGTCCGGACCCCGGACTACGCTAAGGCTTTCAGATACGCGAGATAAATTTGATGCAGCATTTAGGTATTCAAATTAAATACAATTGTACATGTTTGGCAGACGCTTGATTGATAAGTATTGAGGTCAAACAAACCGGACATATTCAAAGTTTCTCAATAAACTAGATTTCCCTATGATTTTGTTGATTATCAAATTGATCTAATTAGTCGAATTAGTGTTTGGCATGTTTGAAGTTTTTATGTCGAGATTGTGAAAATTTCCGTGTCCTCGATGGGATTCGAGCACACGCATGAACGCCGCCTACGCTTTGTACAGCGCATGCTCTACAAGCTGAGCTACGAGGCCACACCAATAGCACTGATCTTTTCACATTCAAATAACCCATCCAACTTACAGAGGCATTTGGCATCTACCAGTTAGAATGTAAGCTGACTGCCCACATTTATTTTCCTTGGAATCTCACCGGAGTCCACCGAAAGAAATTCTAAGGCAAGGTGAGGCCTCGTAGCTGAGCTGGTAGAGCGTGCGCTGTACAAAAGCGCAGACGGCGTCCATGAGTGGGTTCAAATCCCACCGAAGCTATTGAAATTTTCATAATTTTGACGTAGTCATTATTATTATTATTATTATTATTATTATTATTATTATTACTATTATTATTATTAACCGCAATCCTTATCTCGGTATATTTGTTTTTCAACAGAGCAATCTGACACTATTGCAGGAGAATTGAAGGATCTCAAGTTAGGCACTCGGAACGCTTTGATCAGACCTTTCGACAAAAATCCGTATTATTCTAACTCATTGATCAAAAAGGCGATTGACTTACAACCAACCAAACTGGATCAGGTGACAACAATTAACAAATTAGATTGTTGGCCCGTGCGTTTCCCCGATCAAACTGGTCGATGTTTTACGCCAAATTTTGTACCGATCAGCACAAACGTATCGACAGATCTGACCACATCTGCTATTCCGAGTCTGATTCGAACTAGACTGGACGATACACCCCCGATGCAGTCAGACCCTCCGGTTTCCATGACTTCCGCTGCCTACAACAGCCTGCTGATAAATTCCACTGACGTGACCGAAGAGCTTGGAAGTGCTAAACCAATTCGATACTCGGAAGCTGATAAATCAGTGTATGAGAAAATGGACGGATGCATGAACACAAATAATTTTCCCAATGAAATAGTGACCAGCGGAGAGGCGTTCTCAGTTGCACCAGTTAATCGGGGGGAATCGGTGAGCACAAGTCTCACCAATTTGGTTTCCTCCTATAAAAATCACTTTACACCGACCCGATCGAATGGAGTTGGCATAGACATGTCCTGTGCGGTTGAGGTGAAAAAAAATCTGACCCGTTTGTTTCAGTTTCATCTACCCGGAATGACCGGTGCAGCAGAATCCATGACATCCGTGATTACCGATTCGGGTCACGTGAATCATATGCCAAAGATGGTTGACAAGTCTGATTACTCTTTGTATTAGATTAATATCATTTCTAGTCCAAAATTTGACCCTGTGCCTGTCCGTTTGTCTGTCTGTCTGTCTGTCTGTCTGTCTGTTTGTTGTCTTCGACACAAGCACACATGAATCATATTCTTCAGTCTAATAGTGTGAATTCTTCTTGGTTCTTATTTAGAGGGGCTGAACGGAAAACAGTCGCTTCTGCTCGCCCCTACTGGGGGTAAAAATATGCTTGGAAATAAAATTTAAATAAGAATTATATTGCACATTTTTTTAAGTAACATACAACCAATCACTCGAAAGGAATTGCGAAATCAACCTGATAAGCGGTTGACTGTTTTGACCCATGGGTCCGATTTTCTCTCTGGCAACAAACAGTCCGACACACACAATTTCACAAGAAATAATTCTCTTAATCAAGACAAGCCGCCAATGTTGTAAACCAGTTGATCTATACTTTATCTGCCATGTCTCTCCTAATATATGTGTGTAATCATGGCATATTTTACCTCTGCCTAGTCTAAAAGACATTCTCAGACATCTGACAGATGCTTCATAGACCGCAAAACTGATGATATTCACAATGCCTAATGAAACCAAAACTAATGAATTATAATCTTCGCCCAAAATTTGTCTGCCACTTGGAAAAAAACAATTGATTTATAATTTCAGTTGTCCGATTGGTCTCTCACGCTTGAAGTGCTCTAAGTGTTCTGTACTAATTGTACAGTTTACTCCCTCAACACGCCTCTCCCCGCCCCGCCTAGCCTCCCTCCCCGGGGGAGGGGGGGGCGATGGCGTGGTTTGACACCGTCAGACGATTGATTTCGCTTGGAAGCCATGACAGCCAATATCAATCACCCGTTTCCTGTTCCAATGTATTCTAATTGTTTCCTATAAGCCTATTCTCGCCCCGCCCCACCCTCTCGTCTATCCTTCTATATCTGTCTGTTTTCCCAACAATTTAGTGTTATCCCTTTACGCCAATGTTAGCACATTATTATTAGCGATTGAAACGTTTATTAAATCAGTTTCTCTTACTCTGATTGTTCGGTTCCTTAAAACCTCAAACCACAAAATTTATGAGCGCGTTTGGAGCAAACGTAAGCTGACATCCTATTTTCTCTTCTTTTTTTTGTTGTTATTGTTGTTGAGGTTATTCGATCCCCGTTGGTAGAAAAATTAATTCCCGCCCTACCCTACCCTCGCCCCAATATTTGTTATTTTATTTGTCCCTCAAATGAAATCTATCGTTCTAAGTCCCATTAAGCTTTTTTAAAATCAGGGGGATTAAATAATATGTACAAAACAAGCTCATCGGTCATCCAGGTCTCTGCCAATCACGTGCTGGTATTTCTGCCGTTGTTCCGCTTCTGTCTGAGCTGCACAGGTTCTCATTGGCTGATACGATCGATCTATGGCTTGTAGTTCAGAAGCTGTGATACGTACGCGCTTTGTTGACGTCACCCATGAAGTTTGATTGATCGCATTTGTCCAAAATCTGTAACGCGCCGCTCCAGGGTAGGCGTCATAACGTAGGCCTGGATCACCACAGATACGTGTGCTTCTCTTTTGATCTCTCGACTCAGACTTCTGATGGATTGCTTCCCGCCACGCCCCTGACTGTCTACAATGTTTCTTGAGAACATGTATCATCCCCACTAAGGCACATTTAGTCCGTTAAACGTTCCTCAATTACTTACCGTCTATCCCATCAGTCAAGATGTTTTAATTTACTGATAGTGTAATCTTATGGTAAGTCACTCGAATTACTTTCTGACAGTTCAGTACTACAAATCCAAGTATTCTTTAACCAATGGGGTGTCCATTTGAATTGCACTAAATGTTTCGAATCGGTTTCTTAGTCAGGCGCACGGTTTTATACTATGGCGTGTATGCGACCGCATCCAGAGTGGAGCATGACTATCAGCACGTGATCAGGTAACTGTCATCTATCACGGCTTCAGTCAACCAGCTTTGGGAAGGAGAAGTTTCCCAAATAGCTTTAACATCACAACAGTACAGGTTATCGGTAGATATTTTTCATGCATGTCCTTTGGGATAGGACTCTGTCAAGTGGGTCCTTAAATGTCAGGAATCTAATCGCTAGATAAAAAAGAATTAAGTACCTCGGGAGCTTGATCGCAGCTAGTGGTAGCGCCTGGGAGGTGATCACATCACAAATAGCGAAAGCTAGAACAGCTTTCGCCAACCTGCGATACCTTTGACGCCGCCATGACATCCGACTATCCCTTAAGGGAAGGGTGGACGTAGCCGCAGTTCGCAGCATTCTCCCTTACGGTTGCGAGACCTGGCCTCTCCGCGTTGAGGATGCCAATCGACTTTCTGTTTTCGACCAACGATGTCTCCCAAGCAGTGCTCGTATCTGGTGGGACCATCAAGTGAGCAATGACGAGGTCCGTCGTCGTGTGTTTCATGGGGATAGTCGTTCTCTAACAGAAGTAGTCGTTCTACATCGCCTCCGACGACTTGGTCACGTATTACGTATGCCTGTCCATCGACTAATACCTTTCCGTGCCGGGCAAGGCTGGAAGAAGCGCTGTGGTCAGAAGAAGAAGCGGCGGTCAGACCATGACATGGCGTCTGAGGTATGAAGAAGCTGGCTTCAGCTTTGGCTTCGGTCGGTGCAGCCCGCCTTCCAGGTTGTGGCCCAAGGGATGAGGATTGTCGTTGGTTAGAGACACCGAGAGATATGGACCAGAATAGACGTTAGTGGCGCGAATGCTGTACGGTTTGCCTGCTGAAGTCCCATGCCCCATAAAAAAAGACAAACTAACACAAAAACATTCAGAAAGTTTACAGTGAAACGTACAGAAAATTATTTATTTGTAATTTCCCAATTCAACAGTTACGTCTTTTTCCTATGTTCTGTATCCCAGCCCCCTCCCGTTATTTTTCTTGTTACTATTGTTGTGGCATTGGTACCATGCTTGTCCGCAAGTGGGTATTATATATATATATATATATATATATATATATATATATATATATATATAATAC